ATGAAAATATGTCAATGACATGGCATCCTAATGCTATATCTGGAGGACAAAAGGCCTGTTAAAAAAAGATTCATTTTGCTTTTATATAAGAAAAGAAGATACACATTTTATATCTTGGTTTTTTTATGTATATTCTAAGGGATTTCACAAGAATTTCACTGTTCATAAGATCCTACAGCACCAGCTGTTTAACTTTCCCTCACTCCCTCATTACTCCCTAAGTAGTATATATGTCCTAAATATAAATCCGTTGTGTACGAAACAATCAGTGATTATCCCAGAAGTTGTTAGCAGATTAAAAGATCTAGAAGCTCTGGTTTAAGCCTTAGTTTTCAAAGCCCCCTCCTCAGTAACATTTTTTTCTCCTGCAGCAACAATTTTCACTGTTTGTGTGTGCATATGCACATTTACACATATCTCTTTCTGAGTCTGTGGGTTAGGGATTGTGTTGTTGTTGTTTTCATTTTAATCAGACTAAGACAAATTTCCTAGATCTGCAGCTTCTATTCTATCCATGGTTGCTACTTCACAATATTCATTCCATTTCTCCTCCTAGCCTACTTGTTCTATGGCTTTATCTACCAAACTTTTACAACCTTGGGTTTTCAGGATTTAAAAGCTCATCCTTTGAATTACTCCAGCTATGATTTTCTCAGTATTGCTGATTGCTGACATCCTTCCTTGTTAAGCTTTCAGCTTTTAATCTTTTCTGCATCCTGTCTCAGAAATATCAGGGCAAAATTTGCACAGGTATGATCTCCCTCTGGGTCCACAGGCAGTCTGCAGAAGTTGCCCTACTAACATTTGGAGCCAGCTCCCCTTTGTCTTTATCTTCAGAAGTAAAGCATGATATTTTTAGCAGCTTTCATTTCCTTTCTCCGTAGGCCTTCTCACTGATTCCATCATTAGTTTGTGCCATCTTTTTCACCACTAGATCCGTTATACTTCTGAAGAAAGCATCCTTCATCATACCATCACTTGTCCTAGTGGTCTTATTGCATAATACTGTTACTGTTAGTTTCTTCATCATACAAAGTGTGTGTGTGTGTGTGTGTGTGTGTGTGTGTGTGTGTGTGTATCTGTCTATATACTACAGATATTATTGCATGAAGTGTAAATCAGCAAAAATGTTTTGGTATGGGAATAATGAAATTGCGAGAACATCCCAGAATGGCAAAACTATACATAATCATAAAATAGTTCACTTGTATTTTGGCTGCTAAGATAAAGTAATGAACATGGGAAATATAGGACATACTACAGATTAGATTAGATTAGATAAGATATAGATGGATGGATCGAGAGATGATAGATAGATAGAGAGATAGAGAGATAGATGATAGGTAGGTAGCTAGGTAGGTAGGTAGATAGATGATGATAGATAGATAGATAATCTTGCTTTTATTGTTTCAAAGATGCTTTTTCAAAAAGCAACTGGACTTTGTTTTTTTTCCTTGAGGAAGACATTTTACTTCTCATCCAAGAAGCGTCTTCGGTTTTTGTTTTTATTTTTTCCCTTGAGGAAGACATTTCGCTTCTCATTCAAGAAGCTTCTTCAGAACTGAAGAAACTTCTCAGATGAGAAGCAAAACTTCCTCAAAAGCAAAGCCCAGTTGCCTTTTGAAAATATACTTTTGAGACAATTATGACCTGGATGACTGAGAATCTCCATAGACAATCTCTTTTTCTAGTTATAAAACAATACTACCAGAGGTATCTGACATTTAATAATATTTTACTAACATTTTATTCATTTGTTAAATTTACATCTTAACTTTTTTCTCAGAATTTAAGGCAGAATAAACAATACTCTTTCCTCACAACCATCAACCTTAGAGGTAGTTTGTCCTAAGTGACAGGATAACCTAAAACCATTCATTAAGCTTTTATAGCCAAGTGTGGACTCAAACATGGACCTAGCTTCTTCTTGAATCTAGCTCATAATATAACCACTGTTTCTGTGGTGGAATGTGGTCCGAATTCCCAGGAGGGAGTGGATTTCAAAGAAATAAGGAGCAAAGTTCAGAGAGGCTTAGTTAGGAGGAACAAGGAAAATCAGACCCTTCCTAGAAGTTCTCAATCATACATTTTAATGATGAGAGTAGTTTCTATTCTATCTATAGGTGAGGAACAATAAAGGAAACTGCTTAGAAGTAACTCTGTGTATCTTTTTTGGTTTTTGGAGCCTGATTTTTTCACACTGTCCACACTAACTCACTAAATCCTGTCTGTCTCTACTATAATGTTCCTTGCCACTCCCAAAAGTTAATTTACATTATTTTTTAAAAAATATGCATTTTAGTGGGAGTCAAAGCACATATTTAACAATGCCACGTAATAAAAGATCACATCTGAGCCTCACATGCATAGATTCTAACTTCAAATGACTCAAGTAAGGAAAACAAATTGTGTACTTTAGCCCTTAGTGGAACCTTGATATATGAACCTAGAACAGTGGAAGATTTTTCTCACATTCAAGGGCCACAAAAGTTTGAAGATAGATAATGTAAATAACTCTCACTGAGGGTTTTCTAAATTTCAAGAAAGAAGGAAAGGGAAACCTATTGAATCTTGTTTTTCTTGGAATAATATTACTTCAATCGCTCAATCAATCAATTAGAATAGAGCTGGAAGGGACCTTGGAGGTCTTCTAGTCCAACTCTCCTGCACAAGCAGGAGACCCTATACCATTTCAGATAGATGGCTGTCCAGTCTTTTCTTAAAAACCTCCAGTGATGAAGCACCTACAACTTCTGAAGAAAAGCTGTTCCACTGGTTAATTGTTCCTCCTAACAGTGGAAAAAATTAACCAGTGGAACTTAATATTATATGTAGTATTATACAGAAGAATGATAGTTTCTTAAAAGATGGTTCCTTGATGAGTTTAGATAAAGCTCATTAGCTGGAAAAAAAAAAAAGGAATGGAATGGAAAACAGTACTACACAGTTTGGAAATTCTTGAATGCTTTGCATAGGGGCTGAGAGCTTTACAATGCAATGCACATGAGTATACCACTGACAGGGATAAAAGCATGGCTGGCAGGCAAAAATGAAATAATTCTCTAGAAAGGTAAGTATAATATGCAGAAATATAACAAGCAGGGTACTGCTGGAAGGCTGAGTCAGGAGTTTCACTTAAATTTAACTCAGAGGTCTTTGAAGGCTGTGCAGTTTCTAAAACGGCTAAAGATAGAGATGAAATAGAAAGGAAAGCTCTTAATATATTCAAATTGATCAGCATGGATTAGTCTTCCAAGTGATTAGCATGGGGAAAGGGAAGGCAAGAAAGCTACAGGGGAGAATTCACTGTGCTTTTAAAACTGACCAAATTATTCCTTACAATTTTATTAAACGGTTGAAACCCATCTCCTGCTTTAATTATCAGACATTTATCTCTGATGGATTAAATTGTGTCTTCCTGGTGTGCCTTTATTGAATGTGTGTGTGTGGTGTGTGTAAAGATTTTCCAGGACTTTTTTTCCCATTGTTACTAAATTGCGAGAGTTTAAGAAATGAGTAGGCAAGGTTGGCACAAGATTTAATGATGGCAACCAGTTCTGGCTGGTTTTTGTCTTTCAAAAAGATGTTCCTATGCCAGCATAGGAAAGAAAAGAGATATAAGGGTTCCCCATTCTTGCTTAATTTCCCTCCATGACTGCTAGCAAGTTTCTTCTATACATTTAAACTGATTTGACTTATTCACAAGATAATCCAGGAGAAATAACTCCTAACCAGCCATATGTACACCTCAAGCACCTTCAATTCACTACCACTGCACTGCTTGTGTGAGATGCCTCCTTGAATAACAGTTCTGAAGACGTTTTCTCCACTATTATTCCTTATCTTTTAAAACAGAGGTGGGCAGCCATTCAGTAGCAGGTAAGGTGGAATGTAGAATTAGAAGCTTGCAAGCTGTTAAGGCCTTTCCTCAATAGTGATTTATGGCATGGTGTTGATATCATCTTCCAGCCATCTTTGAAATGATACACCCTCTGTTCTCATGTCTGTTATTTGGTAATTACAGAAAATGCTAGAATAGAAACCCTTTCAAAAGTACATAACAAGTTCAGAGGCAGGGGCTGCCAACATCTCTTCAAGGAACATAGATACTTCATGTGTACGTTGGCATTACATTCCCTGACATTTTTTTTAAAAAAGGCTTTAGATAAGTATGTGTCTGTGCTTTTATCACCCAATTATATATACATCAAGAACCAATAATACACATATTATTTTACATAATATATGAAGAAAACCTCCTTGCCTCAAGAAGCAACATTTATATTTATGGTGAAACATGGCCAAAGTTCCTTTGTCAACTAAATATTACTAAAGTCACAGAACTGCCAGAAAAGCACTAGCATTTCCTTTTTCCTTGCAACATTCCCATCCTGCCAGTTGATAATGTGTCAAAAAGGAACATCCATGGTGTGAACATACTAAAGAGTTTTGAGACTTAAATGTTGGCAACAACACAGAAATGACATGCTGAAATAATGGTGATTTTTATTTTTTAGGAGAAAATATGGCCTATCACTAAAAATGATGCCTCAGCTATTAAAGTTCTGAAAAGGGGATACTTATTATTTTTTTTCTCAAAGGACTGACAGGAGGAAAAACAAAAGAAAGGGAGGGAGGGAGGGAGGGAGAGGAGAGAGAGAGAGAGAGAGAGAGAGAGAGAGAGAGAGAGAGAGAGAAATGTACGCAATTCTGAACCTTCCAGGATATGATTTGGGAAAGGCACTACTATGAAGAAAGAGTATAAAAGGGAAAAAAAACCTACAGCTTTTAGTAAGCAGCATGAATCTCATGAATATCTGATGCTGAGGTGTTTACATTCTTATTGCAGTAAAGATAATATAATTATCTATAGGCCTCTCGACTCTCTGGTCAAAATATAATGTTGATAAATGTTTTCATGAATAGAGCAACAGTAAAAAAAAAATAAGGGGCATTTGTTTTGCCATGATCCCTAATTAATTTCCATTTGAATTTTCCAGGTACTTCTGTTGTTCAAGTCACAGCCTCTGATGCCGATGACCCTTCATATGGAAATAGTGCCAGAATTATCTACAGCATACTCCAGGGCCAGCCATATTTCTCTGTGGAGCCAGAAACAGGTGTTGTAGTTATTGTTCTTAATTAAGGATTTCTGCCTTGTCAGGAAATGATACTCACATTATTTTTTCAGCTGTGTGTCATATTCCAAATAGCTCTTAAAGTATATGGGAAAATGTTACTTAATTACTATAACAAAATTCAGATCTGGGTACTAATTGGGTAGCAGTTAAATTTTGATCTGGATTTACCTAAGAAATTGTTGCTTCCTAATCTGAAGCTAGGGAAAAACGGCTAAACAAAGGATTCATACCATGTTTCCCAAAAATAAGCCCTTCCCTGAAAATATTCAAATGTATGCACAACCGGTCCCCGCCATTTCCTTTGATTAGGGTTAGGGAGACAGAGCTGGAAAATCAGGTAAGATGGCAAGAGGAGCCCCGTCTTGCTCCATACGCTCCAAAATAATAAGACCTCCCCAAAAATAAGGCCAAGCGCTTATTTCAGGGTTCAAAAGAAATTTTCAGGGAAACACAGTACCATAAAAAAAATGGATTACTTCAAGGAAGTACATTTTGGAAGTTACATTTTGAATATAAAGGAAATTGTTTGCAGTGCAGGGTTGAAATGAGGGGTCCTTGGTGCTCTCTGAACTTGATTGTTTTCTTGCAGATGTTTCATTAACCAAGCTAGGTAACATCATCAATGTTAGTAAGGAGTGGGTTTGCTCTCTGTTTATATTCTAGTAGTTTGCCCTGTCAGTGTTGGTGGAGGTGGTCATAGAGCTTCTTTGGTTGGGCTGTTTACTGTTAGCTTGCTTGGCAGCTTCATTCCCACCAACACTGATAGGGAAAGCCACTAGAATATAAACTGAAATCAAACCCCACTCCTTACTAGCATTGATGATGTTACCTAGTTTGGGTAATGAAACTTCTGCAAGAAAACAGTCACGTTTAGGGAGCACCAAGGACCCTACATTTTGAATATAATTTATCTGAATCCTGTGCTTAGTACTATATATGATTTACATATTGCCAAAATGATACAGTCTAACTTCAACAGGTCCAGGGGCAAAGCAGCATAATAGATTTTTAAAATATGCTGTATCCGAAGGAAAACCCACAATTCAATTCTACAGAAAACTTCAAAAAGTGTTGAAACTTAATAGCAGCAATATATATGATGCATGGAATAAGTAATGTGAGTATCCAGGTTCAGAAAATCAGTGGAACTTAGTTTGAAAAATAGTTAAACGCTTTTGTAGTACCTGTGTTTAAGAAAGATTTTCAAAACACCTTTCCAACTCTTGCCCCACTGGTTTGTTATCAGTGGTATGCAAATTTTAAGCTATGCATCTCTTAAATAAGTTAGGAATGTGGCCAACAGACTCTAAAATTTTGGGAACTCAGCAGGCTGAGTTCAGAGCAAGTTATTCTATATTGGATCACTGTCTTATCTTATACCATTTCACAGAGAAATATTCCTGAGGACTAAAATATAATTTTTTTGTGACTTAAAAGGAGTCTGTAGAGTATTTTATGGGGAAAGAGAACAGAATCCTGAACTGTCAGAAGGCAGTTTTTTTCTCATAATGCAATTATATTCTTAAGTCCTTTTTGCAGATTTGATATAGTCCCAATAGTGCTTAACTAATTCAATCTCCTCACACAACATGGAGGGAGAAAAGGTATGTTTTGGCTCCAGCAGTGTTCAAATTTTATATGAATGACTTAGCAGCCTCTTTGGAATTGGAAGATTTTCTAAACTGGCTGAAATATGTGAGGCATAATCATGTATATATTAATATAACCCTTGTGAAAAAGCATTGTAGTTAAAATTGCAAATGTAATATTGAGTTATATTTCAAAAATATGGAATTTGACACTTGCAGACAATTCTGATCTTGTCAAGCCACGGGTTTGTCTAAAATGGATTGAAAACAATACTCCAGATGTAAAAGAATGTATTCAGGAGATGTATTCTTTGTCACTTGTTAAAAAATCTTTATAATGTAAAAATGAGAAGAGCAGTCAAAGACAAAGTTTAATGATAGTAACTAAAAAAAAAAGAATATGTAGGAGAGAAGTTGGGTACATTGTGCAAAATGAAGTGACAGTGGCATTTCAGATAGTGGATAATTTATATTTTCCCTTCTTTCTCAAAAGTTCCCTGCATTTACTAAAATAAACACATGAGGGAGTATGTTATGCAAAAATTATCTTCCTTTTTTTTTTTTACTAGTTTACTACTTTAGAGAGGTGATTGTTGTTGTTCTTAATATGCAGAGTATTCAAAAATATTCCCTCAGTGTCTGAACTTGCAGACTCAGAATTGCTGTTTAATGCATAAACTGTTACTTAATATATAATTGCCACTATCACCTATTTGTAATTTCTGTGTTCAATGTATTCATTAAACTGTGCTTGACAATTTGCACAATTCTTTTCTAAATCACAGACATATTGTTCCATACAGAGTGATGACAAATGTTTGTTTGTTTCTTTTTCAGGCATTATTAGAACAGCTCTGCCAAATATGAACAGAGAAAACCGAGAGCAATATCAGGTTGTTATCCAGGCAAAGGATATGGGGGGCCAGATGGGTGGATTATCAGGAACCACCATGGTGAACATCACCCTGACTGATGTCAATGACAATCCACCTCGATTCCCACAGAGTAAGCTTCCTTTAATTGTCCTTCTGTGCTGCAAAAATATCAGAATGAAAGAATTAGGCAACTACCATCTGGTTTAATGTAAAAAAAAAATCTAGTTTATGGAGCACATACAAAAAAGGCTTTATCCACAGATTTATTCACTGTTATTGAAAAGTAAAATGAGATGTTAGAAGGACAACTTTGTTAGAGAAAAATACAGTTGCAAAGAACAATTGCTTAATATTGGATAATTCTTTGCATAATGGCAGGGAATGATACTCTTTCACCCTCCCTCCTCTACAAAAGGAATGGAAGAAATAACATTAGTATGTGAGGGTTGGAAGCGACCTTGGAAATTATTTAGTTCAACTAACTACACAAGACAGGAATCTACTGCTTCAGCATCTTTACCAGATGGCCATCCAGTTTATACTTCCTACAAAGAACGGTCTGCCACCTCCCAAGCATTCTTCTCTATTGTTAATCAACTCTTACTGTTAGAAAATTTTTCCTGATGTCCAACTGAATTTGTAATTAAACCCATTGTTCTTTGTTTCCTTTTCTGGAACAATTCTTCCCCATCTTTTACATGATAACCAACCAGATAATTGAAGACAGCTATTGTGTCTTCTTGCTCTTTTCTCTTGTCAAGGTTAAACATATCCAAAACTTTCAGCTGTTTCATATAAACTTGTGTTTTTTTCCCCTCCATTATAGGTACCTTACATTAATTGCTAATATATTAATCGTTTAATTAATTGTTCTCTTCTGAACATACTGAATTTTGCTAGTTCCTTTCCTAAACTGTACTCTGAAATTAACGTTCTAGGTCAAGGCTGTCAAACTCGTGGCCCACGGGCTGGATGCGACACTGGCCATACCCATATCTAGTTTAGCGAAGGGGGGGAAGTCCCGATACGTCATGTGATGCCACTGTGATGATGCAAGTTTGACACCCCTGGTCTAGGTATAGTCTGACCAAAACAGGCTATAGAAGAATGATTTCTTCTGAGCTTGATTCTATAATTAAAGTTTCAAGAGCATATCTGTGTTTGTTGATGTGTGGAAGTTAATATAATAGTTTAAGCGATATAAACCAAAATATGAATGCTTTTTGTAGCAAAACAAGGGTTTTTGAAAGATGACTACAATTCAGGGTTACAGATTGAAACAGGAAGCTCCCATTCCTCAGCTATTTAAAGAAATCTTCAAAAAGCCATAAACACAAGGCCAAATGTTTGTAGTTAATACATTTTAGGGCAATAGAGAGCTTGTTATGCATTTCAATTTTCCAAAACAAAATTACTGAAAAAGTTTTGGAAAGAGCTAATCTTCATCTACTCTGTCTATTTCTTTCTCCTTATTCAGTTTGTAAAATCAAGCAGCAGGAGAAAGGATTCAAGAAGGTATTTGGCGATCCATTTCCGATGTTTCTCAAAAGTAATTTTTGAACAACTAACAACAGCTTCTTTACCAAAGGAGACTTTTTGTAGCTGCCAATGCATTGCTACATCACATTTTGAAATAGGAGGGCATGTTTTTAACAATATTTTTTAAACAAAAATAAAACCATAGACTTGGAAAATGGCATTTGGACCATCAGGTCCAATCCATGTTCAAGTTATTAATTCAGGTAGCCCAGTTGTATTCCATAGGTCTCTCAGGAGAGAGGGTGAAGCAATCAATCTTCTATCACAGTGATGGCTAACCTTTTTGCCATCGCGTGCCAGGAGAGGGGGCGGGGGAGGGTCGCATGCACACGTGCCCACGTGCATGTACACGCAACCCCACCCCGCTCCTGGCACATGATGGCCTCGTAGGCCCGTTTTTGTTTCTTACTTGGTTCCAGATCCTCTCTATGCATCTGGGAAGAGAGAAAACAGCCTTTCCCACTCCCTTGGAGGCCCTACGGAGGCTGAAAGGGCCCATTTCCCAACTCTCGGTGGGACAGGAAGCGACATTTTTTGCTGTCCCCAGCCTCCAGTACTTCTCTAGGACTCTCTAGGAGCCTCTCTAGGAGTATCTAGGAGCCTCTCTAGGAGTATCTAGGAGCCTCTCTAGGAATCTCTGGAGGCTGGGGACAGGAAAAAACATCACTTCCTGTCCCACCAGGAGTTGGGAAATGGGCCCTTTCAGCCTCCGTAGGGCCTCCAAGGGAGTGGGAAAGGCTGTTTTCGCCCATCCCAGATGCATAGAAAGGATCTGGAGCCAGGTAAGAAAGAAAAACGAGCCTTCCCCACCCCACCCCAGGCCCTCCAGAGGCAGGAAACAGCCTGTTTCCCTACTTCTGGTGGGCCCAGAAGGCCTGAAAATCAGCTGGCCGGTGCGCGCATGCGCCCCAGAGCTGAGCTGGCATGCCCACTAATATGGCTCCGCATGCCACCTGTGGCACGCGTGCCATAGGTTCGCCATCACGGTTCTATCATATTTTATTTACAACACACATGATAAGGCTACAACTGTATGAATGTGTCACAGTTATGATGTTTTTGATCCCCTTCCACTCATGGATGTCCCCTGCCAGATGGATGGCAGTCTAGCCTCTACTTGAATATTTTCAGTACTTACTATCATGGGGAGTACTGTCACTTATTTTTAGTTACAATAAATTAAAATTATTGCACTACTTGGACTTGATTTTTATTTATTTATTTATTTTTATTTTAGCTGAAGCTTATGACTTTGAATCATGAGAATTGGGCAGTCATCTTCCAGACCCTCTGGTGATCCTTTTCCTTTGCAGTGATGATCTGAACAATGTACTGCTCTGTATTCCTTCTCTTTGTTTGCTCATAATAGGTATGGCTGGAAAAGCCTAGTCCCTTTGCCATTCACTGGACTAATTCATTTGACTGATAATAAAGGGGGTTGAATCTCTTGTATAGTCTCAGAAAACTGGTCAGTTCTGTATTTTGTGATCTCAGGAAACTTTCAGATTCAGGTTAATGTCAGGGTTCCAAATAACACCCTTAACGAAAGAAGACTCCAAGGCTTGAATTTTCTCAAAGTTCCATTTTATTAGAAATGTCATAATGGCACATATGGGAAAACCCGGATCTGAAAGTTTCCAGGTTTTCCCCATTCAAAAGAAAGTTCAAGTCCCTGCCCAGCACCTGCACGTCCATTACATGATCTAATCAGGCACCATCCAAAACTGGAGATGCCTCCCAGTCACTTCATTGCAGCTGCAGGGCAAGGTGGCCTTGAGTCTTTAAGAAAAGAATGTTATTTTGACTACATATCACCCATAATCTATGCATTCCCCCCTCCCATTTTCCCACAGTAGAAAATGTGGCAGGCCTGAAGGCCCAAATGTAAAAGATGGCTTCCAGTCTGACATCAGGATGCTGCTGGAAGTTAGGACTGCACACATATCTCTTCTATTTGTTTGAATTCCCTCCTTTACCTTTACTACAACGTATATCTATATATGGGTCTTCAGTCTGAGTTTAGAAGCTAAACAGAACTGGGTCTGGTTAATCCAGGGAACAATGAGCCTATAAACTAGACTGGGAAATGGAAAAATATTATCGAAAAGGGCAATGGCGAATCACTCCTCTAATATTGCAAAGTAAACTTGTGTCAAATCAGGCTCAATTTGAAGGCATATTTATTTTTATCTTATAGTTACATATGAACTTTGATAAACTCTCTTTTTGCTATAAGGCATTTTTCTAAAATTAAATATTCTTCCTCCCCAGTTCCCCTGACAGTCTCTTTATTAATGAGGCTTATATCATGTTAAAAGAAAGTGAATGAATGGGCTTGTGAAAGGAGTTGATTCATGTAAGTGCTAAAGGCCTTATTGATTCCTTCTTAAAAGAGAATCAATAACATTCATGTCAAATGTGAAACTGTACACTTAACGGATCTTATCTCTTGTCTGATTTGCTGATTTGATTATGGATCAAGAGGACTTCTGAAATTGGAAGACCTTACAAAGTTTATTATCAGGCTAGCGTTGTACTACTATTAATGACAAAGAACCAGTCACACTTATGGGCACCATTCTGAAGCCTTGTGAACACATTAGATCAATGACAAGTGTTCTGATTAAAAAAACAAGTCAAGTATTTTTTTGCTAGAGACATTTCCAGCACTAAAATTTAAAATTTAAATTTTTACATACCCATTCTCCCTTTCTTTTATTTTTATCCTCTCAACAACCCCATGAGATTTGCCAGAAAAACATAATTTCATGGCAAATCTGTTGTGTGCTTAAGTCTCCTTAGCTGCAGATAGATTTAATTAAGTGCTCTAATACCTGCATAACATTATTATTTTTTGTTCTTTTGTTTACTGCAGAATTCTAGTAACCGTAGTATCAGAAGTGTTTAGGTTGAACAGCCCCTCCCTTCTCAAGCATTTTGATATTAGTTTTATAATCCTTCTCCAATTTGATACCTTCTAGAAGTGTTGGATACCAATCTTCATCATTCCTAATTAAGATAGATCTAGTAAGAGAAAGTTGTTTTAGAGTGTATGCTTAATTTACAGAGAATAATGGGGTAGCCCCTGCATGATATAAGTATGGTTCTATGTAAAAGGCCTCTGCTTTCATAGCTCCATTCTCTTTCTGCAAAGTGGAGTGGAGAATATTTTAAATATTTTCCTACGGAGTCAGAAATATTCCCAGAATTGTCAGGAGTAGGAGGGAGCTTCCTGAAGAGCAACTTAACTTGACTGTAACTGGAATTGGCAGCCCATAAGATTTCCCAGTGGGAGTATCATCTTCCCACTTTATAATGCTATTTGAATGATGTAATATCCTATTACCAGCATCAGGAAACATTATATATGAAAAAGGCTTCTTACTGGTTGCCAGCTGTGATTCTCTGCCTATTTTTGACAGCAGAGGAACTAAATTTCAGGAAGAAGATTCTTGCTGAATAAATGATTCTTCCATCCACAATTCCTCTCTGAGATTTGAAGAAGTTCTTTCCCCACTGAAAATATTTATAGTGATATTTCTGTGCTTCCCCCCCCCCACAAAATCCCATTTCTTCTCATGTGGGAAAAAAAAAAACCTTGTAAGTTTATTGTCAGCAATATTCCAAACCAGTTCAAGAACATCATGCAAATTGTTGCATGGTAATTCATGCATTGCATGTTTCGTAAGAGACATTAGGAAAACCACTGAAATGGAAATTACAATTACATAATATTTACCTGAATTTTAAAATTACCCATTTTGAAAATGGATACTAGAGAATGAAGTCATATTTCTCTGAAATACAATCATTTTGAAATGGGAACATTTAGGGAATGGGAACATTGAACAGGTCAATTTATTTTAGAAGAAATCTGGGCCTAAAGTTCCCTTGCACTTTTTCAACAATTTTCATGTCCTTGTCCATAAAGTACTGAATAAAAACCATAGGTTTTGAAATATAAAGTACTGTGAAGGTTGGGATATTGGTCCTTGAAGTTGCTCTCCATATCTACTTATCAAGTCATCATATATCAGCTCTATTCTTTCAGATAGAAGAGAAGACTTGTCTTTTCTGTTTTTTATTGTGTGTCCTCTGCATGATAAAAGTTTCTTAGAGAGTTCAGTACAGTTTTACTGTAGCCGTCATTTCATTTCTGACAACCTTTTCAAAAAAAATCTAGCAACCTAGATTATATTTTGGTTTTGTAATTTGTAAATTTGTAATTTGTCAAAAATGATTCACGTTATTTCCACTTGTGATTTTTATTTCAAGTGCTAAAGACTAACATAGCATAGGTTGTCATCAACAATTCCATCTATACTATAATATCAGGAATAAAACAGACTTCCTTACAGTTTTAAACTAATTAATATTTTCTATGTCTGAAGAAATGAATCTTAGCTCATGAAAATAGGGGTGTGAATCTTTAAGACAAGGTTAAAGAAGCACATAGTGTTAGAGAAATGAATTTAATACACACACACACACACACACATTAAATACATTTTTCTAACACTATAGGAACTTTCACAGAAAAAAAGCAGCAAGAGTAGCTGTTTAAATTATGCAGAATAGTAAGTAATTTACAGGAAAAAATATTTACAGAATCTATATATAGCTGTACATAGCACATAAGTGATGCTTGAGCAGGGGCCATAGCATTGTCTGGGATGCTACACATCCTCTTCATGACCTGTTTTCCTTGTTACCTTCTGGGAAGAGGATTCATGGTATCCGAAGTAGAACATCTAGATTCAGTCACAGTTTTGTTCCATATAGTATCAATCTTGTAAACTTTCAAGTTCCCAATGGTATTTTTTTTAAAAAAAAAGATGCTGAAAAATTTCCTGAAAACGGCAGAATTGAATATAGTATTGATATTGACCAGATTTCCTTACTCCCTTGTGTCAAATGGAGCTAAGTCAAATCTGCTTGAAATGAATCCTTGGTTTTAATTACACTCCATCTTATCCCCGATTACTACAGTTCCTGACTCTTCCAATGGGAAAAATATAAATTCAATCCAAAGAGATTTCTTACGAGACAGGAAATAATAAAACACTTTTTTTTTTCTTACCAGAGAGTCATGAAATGACACTCTGTCTTTATCAAAATTCTTTTATAACTGTGATTGCCTTCTTCTTTCTCAAAGTAGAAGCAAGGATGGGTAGTTTCCTTGGCATTTCAGCAGGGGATTATGGTGGTTCCATTGACTTTGTGTGAGAGAGGTTAAGATAGAAGCTAGAGGAAATCTGGCTTTGGTATCTTTCAAACATTGCCAGCTTCAACCCTCACAAATTACAAATACTTTTGAAAACCAGCAGGAGCAGTTTCCTCTTCTCTATTCTGGATTCCTTTTGAAAGTCACAAAATGAGGCCCATTCACTTCAAGTGAGATATGAGAAGAGCTGTGCAATTTGGCAGCGCTATAGAAACTGCTAGACTTATAAAAATGATTGATTGTGATTTTATATTACTTCCAGGCTTCCAGAGCTTTTTAGCTCCTGGAGGCAAAGTGCAAATAAAGAATAATAATGGTAATTTATAACTTACCTCAAAAATCTAGGTGCCCTGCTTGTTTATGGTCTAATGAGGCACAAAAAAGGAAGAGGGAAATAAAATACAAAGAAAGGGGTGTTAGAAATTTTCTTTCTCACAGATAGTTCTCTCTGTGTGTTTCTCTTCTGACCTAGCCTCAGTATCTTACAAATGTCTTTTAAGAAACTGAACTATTTTTTAAAAAAACAACAATAACAACAAAATCCTTTGTTGTTCATGTCTTGCCTGGAAACTAAACATTACCAGAGTACATAGATTTTCAGCAAATTGGCTTCTGCTGGAAGAATGGTTTTCCTTTTTCAAAATAAACATTTTCACCAGATTTACACTCACTTGAGGCTATTGCTCAAGAAATACAGATGGAGATGTTACTGTTCAGTTTGCCTGTGCCAGAAGAGACAGAAGCCCACACAGAGAAACTTGGCTTTTTTGCACAACACATGCTACATAAGAGAAACCATCAAATACCGCAAATTGAGGCATGACTCCATCAAAAACAAGTCCAGTACAAATTGTGCTATAATGAAAGAAAAATGCCCAAGAGCAATATTTTATGATTTTGCAGACCCTATTAATTTCCCTGAATTCCTACAAACTCTTGCAAGCGGTGTTTTTTTTAAAGCAAGTTTTCAGTATCAAGGATAGGAATGCAGTTCCTTCTTCACCTCCTCACTTTGTTACTGCAAGCACTTAAGTACTTCAAGGAACCGTGGGGATGAGACTCACAAAATCTAGATCAAATCATCTCCTGCAAAAATTGGTGGAACTTGCAAAATGATTGAAATACTTGAATTTGATTTTAATATTTTACTTATTTTTTTTTTAAATTTTAGCTGAACCTTATACGGATTGAATTTAAGTGCCAGAATAGGTTATTGCAAATGGTAGTGGTACTGTAGGTGATTTGCCCCTATTTCAGAAAGGACTTATTCAAGTGGAAGCTAATGCCCACTTGAATTATGGTTACTCAAAACTGAATGGGATGCTGTTTATTTTTGTAATTACAGTACCCCCCCACCCCCCCAGACACAACTTGGGAAAAATTATTGAAGTTTATTTATCGTTTTGCAGTCAAAACTTAAAATGAGCACAGCTAAGGCTGCAGAGTCTCTTACAAGGTGGTTGTACCAAACAGTCTTCATGGTGAACCTTAAGAATTCTATCATTATATATTTTCAGATATACAGTCTCCTCTAAATATATTGGATTGCATTGCTTCTTTATTTTCTCTTTAGTATTTTACTTATTTATTTGCAATTGATTATTAGTATTCACTTGGGTCTATACTTAAAATACCCTTTAGTGAAATTGCACTTAAAATTAGTGTAAAAACCTACTTTATTTCTTCACTTTTTTTTCCCTTTGACCTGCCAAGCAGTGTTGTATTGTGGCTGGTTAAGTACTTGATGAAAATCTAATGATATGCGAAAATATGTTCTCCAGTTTCTTTCACCTAAAATACAGTGATTCCTTTTATTACTGTTTTAGAATTTCTCGGGTGATGCTGTGCTTTGTTACTTTTTATTTCTGCTCTTACATATTTCCCCAATCATATTGCAACCTCCCTGTGCTTCCTGAACCAAAAAAAAGAGAGGTGCTTTTGGAATAGGCAGAAAACTTATTTCCACTTTTTAACTTTTCAAAAGAAGGATTTGGCTCTATCTGGAAGACTCAGTTTCTATGGAGCAGTAGATTTTTGGTATTTTCTTTCAAGTTGCAGTAACCTCTCATTTTTTTCATCTCACCCCTATGTAGCCAATAGAGTGTGCATTGGCCTTTTTATTTGCCAACTGTATAGATGCATAGTAGTCACTAGCTATAGTAGCCTGCAAGAAAGCACAGATGAAGCTGTCATGAGCTTCTGATCAATTAGACAGAAAAATATTGGGAGAGACAGGATGGTGTTTCTTGATTGCTGCATAAGTAAGGTAGGCACTAAGAGTCTTTCAGTCAACTCCAGAAGCCTTTCTTGGAAATTTCCTTTTCTTTTTAAGTATGTTGAACAATGCAATGATTAGTGGGGGGTGGGGGGTGGAATGGATCTACGGAATACTGTTTCATCATAACACAATTTGAAATGCTAGGAAAACAAGTTCTTAGATTTTCCAATAGGATTAGCAGACTATATTTAGCTAGCTAAGGGCAAGTTTGCTTTTGGAAGAGTCCATTTGAAAGCAGTGACCCTGTAGTTAAGTAGAAACCTGATGCTTTGGATTTAAATCTAAAACCTTTCTCTGTCTCTTTCATTTAAAAAACAATTCATATGTTTCTTGCTATCCTACCAGGGTCTTTGATTGCTTACTTAGTATCCTATGACAATCACTAAGTGTTGTATCTTATGATTTTTGATGAATGTATTTTTTATGTACACTGAGAGCTTATGCACCGAAGACAAATTCCTTGTGTGTCCAATCACACATGGCCAATAAATTATGCTATGCTATGCTATGCTACGCTATGCTATGCTATGCTATGCTATTCATCATTTCTTTACATATTTCTGATTATTCTTCTTTGCAGGTTCAGTCCACCTATGCATTCCAGAATCTTCTCCAGTTGGCACTGCCATTGGAAGCATTAAAGCCTCTGATGCTGACATTGGGAGAAATGCAGAACTTGAATACCGAATTATTGATGGTGATGGAAGAGACATGTTTGATGTTGTAACACAAAAGGACACACAGGAAGGCATTATAACAGTACGAAAGGTGCATATTTTTCAATATGATGCATTGTGTGCTTGGAACTACTAACCATTCAGTCCTTGCAAAACAAACAAAAAACAAAACAAACATGAAAATACCCACAATTTGGTATTGTTGTAATTCACACTCCTCTTTATATAGAACAATTTGGTGCATGTATTATTATATGTGTTAACAATATAATGAATAAAAAGCAACAACTAAAACATTTTTTCCATTGCTGGTTATTTATATTTATTTTTGTATCATAGCATTGATTAGGAAGGAAGGAAGAATTATGATTTGTTTGTTAAAATGGAATATTTTCTAAAAAAATATAATACTTGACAAATTTATTGGAATATTCTTTGGAAATCTTCCTGGTAGTAGATGATTTCATCAGAATTATCAATTATACAATAACATGCAAAAAGATTTTACAAAAAATAAGATGGTCTTGTTTTTGAAACAGCAATAATTTTGGATGGGTGTTTAGAAGTTCTACTAATATATTTAGTATATAGAAGTATACAGTGTTGAGATTATATGCCTCTCAGTTATAATAATTTAATTTAATTATTCAAATCAATGTATTCAATTCAAAGCTTATGTATTTTATATTTTAAAACAATATTACAAAATTCATTGCATATGAAACTGTCACCTAAAGTCATCCTGAACTTTGTCTTTATTTAAAGGCACATTCATTGTACTTTGGAGAATGAAATCAGTTTTGGTATAATTTGTTCATTTACTTTGAAACTATGTAACTACAGTCATGGCCGTAAATGTTGGCACCCCTGAAATTTTTCCAGAAAATGAGGTATTTCTTACAGAAAAGTATTGCAGTAACACATGTTTTGCTATACACATGTTTATTCCCTTTGTGTGTATTGGAACAAAACCAAAAAAGGGAAGAAAAAAAGCAAATTGGACATAATGTCACACAAAACTCCAAAAATGGGCTGGACAAAATCATTGGCACCCTTTCAAAATTGTGGATAAATAAGATTGTTTCAAGCATGTGATGCTCCTTTCAACTCACCTGGGGCAAATAACAGGTGTGGGCAATATAAAACTCACACCTGAAAGCAGATAAAAAGGAGAGAAGTTCACTTAGTCTTTGCATGGTGTGTCTGTGTGTGCCACACTAAGCATGGACAACAGAAAGAGGAGAAGAGAACTGTCTGAGGACTTGAGAACCAAAATTGTGGAAAAATATCACCAATCTCAAGGTTACAAGTCTATCTCCAGAGATCTAGATTTGTCTTTGTCCACAGTGCGCAACATTATCAAGAAGTTTGCAACCCATGGCATTGTAGCTAATCTCCCTGGGCGTGGACGGAAGAGAAAAATTGATGAAAGGTGCCAACGCAGGATAGTCCGGATGGTGGATAAGCAGCCCAAACAAGTTCCAAAGCAATTCAAGCTGTCCTGCAGGCTCAGGGAGCATCAGTGTCAACGCGAACTATCCGTCGACATTTAAATGAAATGAAACGCTATGGCAGGAGACCCAGGAGGACCCCACTGCTGACACAGAGACATAAAAAAGCAAGACTACAGTTTGCCAACATGTACTTGAGTAAGCCAAAATCCTTCTGGGCAAACGTCCAGACCAAGATAGAGCTTTTTGGTAAAGCACATCATTCTACTGTTTACCGCAAACGGAATGAGGCCTACAAAGAAAAGAACACAGTACCTACAGTGAAATATGGTGGAGGTTCACTGATGTTTTGGGGTTGTTTTGCTGCCTCTGGCACTGGGTGCCTTGAATGTGTGCAAGGCATCATGAAATCTGAGGATTACCAAGGGATTTTGGGTCGCACTGTAAAGCCCAGTGTCAGAAAGCTGGGTTTGCGTCGGAAATCTTGGGTCTTCCAGCAGGACAATGACCACAAACATACGTCAAAAAGCATCCAGAAATGGATGGCAACAAAGCGCTGGAGAGTTCTGAAGTGTCCAGCAATGAGTCCAGATCTCTATCCCATTGAACACCTGTGGAGAGATCTTAAAATTGCTGTTGGGAAGAGGCGCCCTTCCAATAAGAGAGACCTGGAGCAGTTTGCAAAGGAAGAGTGGTCCAAAATTCCGGGTGAGAGGTGTAAGAGGCTTATTGATGGTTATCGGAAGCGACTGATTTCAGTTATTTATTCCAAAGGGTGTGCAACCAAATATTAAGTAAAGGGTGCCAATGATTTTGTCCAGCCCATTTTTGGAGTTTTGTGTGACATTATGTCCAATTTGCTTTTTTTCCTCCCTTTTTTTGTTTTGTTCCAATACACACAAAGGGAATAAACATGTGTATAGCAAAACATGTGTTACTGCAATACTTTTCTGTGAGAAATACTTCATTTTCTGGAAAAATTTCAGGGGTGCCAACATTTACGGCCATGACTGTATATATTGGTACTTCTTTTCTGCAAATTCATTATTCCTTCCTGTCATGAAAAAAGTTGCACTGACTGAATTATTAATAGTGGTTTACAGACTACATAATATAACTTGGAGTATAAAATGTCTACTTTATAAAAAAGTATAATAAGAAAATGTAAGTTACAGTAGTTTCTCTTTTATCTACAGGATCTAGCACACAACTGGTCTTAAATGAATGGAAACAGTGCTTGATATACTTTTCATACTTTTTTACCATATGTCATTTTGATACCTGAGATACTTCTGTGTCATTGTGTTAATAACTGTATTTATTTATTCATTTACTTTTAATACAGCCATTGGATTATGAGAATCGAAGGCTATATACTTTGAAAATAGAGGCAGAAAATCTGTATGTCGATCCCCGCTTTTATTACCTTGGACCTTTTAAAGATAAGACTACTGTGAAAATATCTGTGGAAGATGTGGATGAACCTCCTATATTTAGCAGATCTTCATATCTTTTTGAAATACATGAAGATATTGAGGTGGGCACCATCATAGGCACAGTCATGGCACGAGATCCAGATTCTGCTGCAGGCCCAATAAGGTAAATGCTAAAACATTACAGTTTATAGGAATTCTTTGTATCACTAGTTAAGTTCATACTTTTATTGTGAGTGACAAAATATACAAAAAACAAGGAGAAAATGGAGCATTGGGTCACCTATTTAATCTGAGCCATGTGAGATAATCTTGTACAAGTATATTGCAGCCTTACCCAAGTAAGTGGTCTCCAAACAATACTGACAGTTCCCCATATTGCCAAAAAACATGGATAATGGGGAAAAAGAAATAATTTTGCTCCATTTGGAATTCTCAGATCAGTTGTCTCATGCTATCTGCAGAATAAAAATGCATATAGGCTATGGTTTTCCCAGTTGCAATGTATGGCTGTGAAAGTTGGACCATAAGGAAGGCTGAGTGCCAAAGAATTGAGGCATTTGAACTATGGTGCTGGAGAAGACTCCTGTGTGTCCCTTGGACTGCAAGGCGATCAAACTGGTCAGTCCTAGAGGAGATAAACTCTGACTGCTCTTTAGAAGACCAAATCCTGAAGATGAAACTCAAATACTTTGGCCATCTAATGAGAAGGAAGGACTCACTGGGGAAGAGCCTAATGCTGGGAAAGATTGAGGGCAAAAGAAGAAGGGGATGACAGAGAATGAGATGGCTGGATGGAGTCACTGAAGCAGTAGGCGTGAGCTTAAAAGGACTCCAGAGGATGGTAGAGGACAGGAAGGCCTGGAGGAATGTTGTCCATGGGGTCGTGCTGGGTCAGACACGACTTCACAACTAACAACAAAATCTGCAGAATATCAGTTTGAGAAAGGCTGATATTCAGAGCATAACTTTAATGTCAAATAGTGTGACCATAGGTTAGTTTTCCCTTGCTTGCTTGCTTTTAATAGAGGTTCATTAATAGAACTGAAAAAAGGCATTAATAAATAGAGGAAAATTGCCAGAAATTCACTTTTGAAATATAACCTTTAATTTTAATGTGAAACTTGCCATTATCTATCTGAAGTTTCATTGGTTTAATTGATTTGCATCTCAATTGGCCAATATCAAATACGAAAGTTCCTAAGTTGTTGGTAAATAGTATCATTGTCTGAAATCTCATACTAAATATTATATTTTATATAATAGTACCTGATATTTAAATATAATCAATAACAGTACCTGATATTTAAATATAATCAATAATTAAATATAATTTTCCAGTACTAAAATATGAAAAAGACAGTTATTTAATTTATTATATCAAATAGCACAGCTCTAATATTAAGTTTAAATATAAAATCCTCAATGAATAGTTACATAATAATTTCACATCAGCTCTATGCTCTATGTCTTGAATTTCTTTAATGTACATTTGATGAGATTATTTAACACAACAGTTTTATTGCTATCTTACTTGACAATATAGTAAAACTTCAGTTTAATTGATCATTTCTGGAGAAAAGGTATCCATAAAACCAGAATGCCCAAATCTACATAATTGACCTAATTTATGTCAAGTGTGTAATTATAATCACATTAGTGAATTTTATCAATTGTCTGGAGAGAGGGTTTAGAATTAATGAATTTGGCCATTATTTTCAAGGGTGAAGTATGACATAAATGTTTATGCAAAGTCTTTAAATAGAGTTCCTTTAAATCAAAATTTCATTGACATAATCCAACTGTGATTTAGTAATAAAAGCTGATTGAGTCTGCCAAAACTTGAGCTCTCTAAAGATCTACTCTTGCTTGCATAATGTCAACAACTGTCCAGACATTTTGTATAGTTGTAGAATAACAAAGGGTAGTTCAGCATCAGTTAATGAAATACATGGATAAATTAAAGAAAAGCTGGACAAATCATTACATGCAAAACTGGAAAAAACTGAGCTTGTATCATTCCAAAGGCAGTTTATGACAGAGGATTAAACCAAAATATGAAGTCAAGCACTACTCATAAATCCATGTTTGAGTAATATTTTTGTTAATTTGGAAGCCCTTCATATAAATGTTCCCAATCCCCATGAGGATATCCTTTCATAATCTAAAGATTATGACAACCATTACTGGAGATGGGCAAACAACCGTTACTGGAGATGGGCAAAATAACTGTCCATCTAGTTTGTTAGATCTTCTATTGAAAAAAAGAAGATGAAATAAAAATAAGCAATGTTGTTTAAGAACGATATGTTTAGATATTTCTGCATACTTCACAATTGCCAGAGATTTAAACATTTATATTGTCAGGAAACATCTGAAAACATTAGTGTCAGTTCCAGTGCATTTTTCTGTGTAATCTCAGAACAGATTCTTAGAACTATGGTAAGATTTAAACTTTTACAAAATACTCTGTAGGTGAAGAATGAACTAGAAATAGTGATCACACTGAAAGGCAAAGCTCCGTATGCATTTTAGGCAATTTGCAGTGATAATAGGTGTGTTTCAGAATAGGAGCCATAGGGTTTCATTAGATATTTCTAATTATTATATTTTTTTAACCAACAGAGGTAATAGGTCTAATAAAGGTAAATTACTATATTTATCAGAGGGGAGCAAAAGTTGCTATTTGCCAATTAAATTACGGTAAGTGATTATTATGCTTCCTGCCAAAACTGACTTTTTAGTAGAATAGAACAGCACTTGATGCAACAAAACTGTTTTTATGAGGAGGAGAGATTAAATATAAGCTTTCTGGAACAATGATTATATATATTTAGGTTAGCACCATGTATCTTTTCAACATTAGCAAATCATATAGAAATTACCTTTTATGCTGATAGATTTTGTTGCTACCTTGTGTTTCACAGTTAAGAGGGATTGAAAAGGCTGCCTGCATGCTGTTGCTGATATGAATATTCTCTATGTGTTACTGGAAATGTATTAAAGAAATGTATAAAAGAGAAAGTTCTCAGTAGAAAAGGCACATGGACTATAGCACTTCAGATCATACAGAATCAACTTTTAAATTTTGCTTCATCTGCCAGCATTACAGATGCTTTAACACGTTGCAACCAGCTATGAATTCCTTTGACAACACTGTCTATGAAATGGAGCAATGGAAAATCTGTGGTATTGTGACCATCTATTGAATGCCACTATTTATGAGTGAACACCAGGAAGATTTTTGGTGTGGAACAAACATATCTTTGCTGTCACATCTAGTTCCATCTATTGCAGCTTAAACTTTATAGATATTAGATTGGATACAAACATCTTTGTATTCAGTCTGATTGACCAAACTGTCAGTTCTAAATGTGTTTAGGTCTAGAAATGTCAGTTATCTCTGATTAATTTTTATTGTCACAAACTGTAATATTGTTGCTGTTCTAATTATTGCATCTTGAGTTAAACAATTTCATGAACTGTTGCTTTCCTAAGATCTCAGAATTTGACAGGAAGGCAACATATGGGGGCGGGTCTGGGGGGGGCAGGTGTTGAAATCATCAAGATGGTCAACATTGTGCCATGATGCAAGCATATTGAATATGTATGCATCGTTGCCACTCATATAAAGGGTGAGAGATTTGCGTCTCAATGCTATCTATCTCTTGCTGATTTTAATGCTTTTTAAAAGCTGCTGACAACTATGTCACTACTCTCCATTAGAATAACTTGCAGTCACCAAGATTATATGTGGTACATCTCAACATAAAGCTCTTTTTCTTCCTACCAATCATTAGGTTTTCCTTGGATCGTCACACTGATCTTGATAGAATTTTCAACATACATTCAGGAAATGGATCAATCTATACTTCTAAGATGCTTGACCGAGAAATATCACAGTGGCACAACCTTAGTGTAATAGCAGCAGAAATCAGTAAGTTCATTACTATCAGTGTATATATTTTATTTATTGTGTCTAGTGAAATGTATCTTAGCTATGTAACACAGGTGGTCCTCAACTTACAAGCACAATTGAGCCCAAAATTTCTGTTGCTAAGCAAAATATCTGTTAAGTCAACTGTGCCCCCATTTTACAACCTTTCTGAGCACAGTTGTTAAGTGAATCACTGCACTGCACTTGTTAAATTAGTACCACGATTGTTAAGTGAATCTGGCTTCCCTGTTGACTTTTTTTGCCAGAAGTTTGCAAAGGGGACACTGAAACCATCATAAATTTAAGTCAGTTGCCAAGCATCCAAATGTAAATGATGTAGGGGATGCTACAATGGTCATAAATGTGAAAAATGGTCATAAGTCACTTTTTTCAATACTGTTGTAACTTCAAACTGTCACTAATGGCTTCTTCCCTTCTTTCCAAGTCTCAAAAAAACTGTTTCCATCTAATTTGTTATGCTTCTTTGCTTGATTTCTTGCTCTGTTTTAAACTGCCAGACTTGAAAATAGTAGATTTAAAATTTTGGACTAAGTGAACAGTTGTAAGTCAAGGGCCCCTGTATGTTTCTGTGGTCCTCCAGCAAAAGAAGTGTGTGACAGTCTAGCCTTCCCTAATTCAGTACAATTCAAATATGTGAATTGTGAATTCAATGCACACTTCTCTGGGTAGCCATGTAGCCATGATGACATACAAAAACAAGAAAAGCTATTAGAAAATAAGTTTTCTTTTCTTTTCTTTCTTTCTTTTTCTTTCTTTTTTTTTGGGGGGGGGGAAATGTTAACTTCTGAATCATCTCCATTTTTAATCCTACAATGGCATGGCTACAATTTATATTAGGAAGGAGTTTTATTCAGCACTATAGTAGTAAGGAGAATTTCATCACACTGATAAGTACTGGATGTAGTGTTTCTTTCCCAGAATGGCTATTTTGTGGGCTGTGAAATCATTAGCATTTTTTCCCTATTTAAGGCTATTTTGATATGTGATATCAAAGGTTGTGCTGGTTGGTGATGTAGAGAAGAATTTGGAAACTAGCAAGTTTGGGTAGGCTGACAAGGGAAATTAAACAAGAATATAGTTGTGTTCTTATCCAATTGCCCTTTATTAAATTAATTAAATTAAATTAAATTAAATATCCTAATCAGATATGTCCTGGAATAACTTATAATAATGTCATTCTAAGAAATCTGTACTATCAAATATATATATTTTCTTGAAATTAGAAGAAGCAAATTGTCCTTTATGCTTCTTCCTATCTTTCCAACTCTCAAAAGAAACTGTTTCTTTCTAATTTGTTAAGCTTCTTTGTTTGAGTTCTTCCTTTGTTTTAAACTGCCAGAAACTTGACAATAGTAGATTTAAAATTTTGGCTCTATCCATTCATTTGAGATCAATACCATTATTTTCTTCCACATTCTCTTTGACCCTCAGAGCTGGAAAAAAAACTCCACCCAATATCTGGTCACTAAACTGTTTTCCACCACTACTTTACATTTGTTATTTATTTGAAAGGACAGAGAAAATAAGCAGTAAGTTTGGTGCCTTCTGTCCATAACAGAACACAAACTGGGTGCAAAGAGATTGCCAGAAATGTCTTCAGATTGAAAATGTGTTTATCCTTTAAAGAAATCATTAAAGTAACATGCAGTATATTTGTGGACATTCTGATTCAGGACTACAAATCCATTTTTAAATAAAATTGCCTATTTCTCCTGCTTTGACAGACAATCCCAAAGAGACGACCCGTGTTTCTGTGTACGTACGAATATTGGATGTGAATGACAATGCACCACAATTTGCTGTATTCTATGACACTTTTGTGTGTGAAAATGCAAGAGCAGGGCAAGTAAGTCAATTATGCATATGCGTCAAACTTTCTAGTTTTGTTTTAGGAACAGGAAAAATGAAAGATTTCATCTACAACTTGAAAGTGGAAAAATGGCTGTCAATAAATCAGAATCCAGTTTTGTGTAGATCTGCTTTCTAGCAATGCCAACACCACCTTTTTGTATCCTCACCAAACATTTTGTGTTCTTCAAACTTTTTTTCCCCCTCAACTCCTTTTTGTTTGGTTCTTTTTTCCCAGAAATACAATAATTTTGTATGGTATCTTTGTGGAAGAAAGGTATGCTCTAAACTATTTCTTGAAATCAGTTTGTGTGTGCGCGTGTGTATGTGTATATGATTTTTTTGTCATTGCATAGCTCAGCCTTTCAGTTGATATGGATCAAAACATCACTGGCAGCATTTCCTTCTGCAAATACTATTTTTATCTCAATCAGCTTGTTGTTGACAAATATCACAAAAGAATAAAAAGTTGTTAGTTTCAAAAAAAAACCCCAAAAACATGTTTTCCTTTACCTACAGAAGGATGTAGAATACTGAACACCAATGAAGAATATAATTGGGAAAAGCAAAGCACCAAGCATTAAAGCTCAGTGAAACTCAGAATGCTGTAAGGAATTTCCTTTTGAGACAAGGGAAAAGCAGTTGTTTTAACAGTAAAAACTGGCTGTTTCCCTTAATTCAGGGGTGAAATGCTACCAGAACCGGTAGCAAAAAATGCTACTGGTTCGCCGAAATGTAAAAATGTAAAAAAAAAAGTTTTCCCCCCAGGGACTGGGGAACTCTGAGAGTTGGAGTCCACACATCTTAAAGTAGCTGAGGTTGAGAAACCCAGTATTAAAAGGTCCAAATATGCCTGTAAAGCAGGGGTGAAATCCAGCAGGTTCTGAGAACCAGCAAATGCCACCTCTGGCTGGCCCCAGAGTGGGGTGGGAATGGAGATTTTGCACTATTCTTCCCCTGGAGTGGGGTGGGAATGGAGATTTTGCAATATCCTTCCCATGGAGTGGGGTGGGAATGGAGATTTTGCAATATCCTTCCCCTGGAGTGGGGTGGGAATGGAGATTTTGCAGGATCCTTCCCATGCCACACCCACCAAGCCACGCCCAGCAAGCCACACCACACCACACCACATCCACCAAGCCATGCCCACAGAACCGGTGGTAAAAAAAATGGATTTCACCACTGCCTTAATTCCAATGTGTGGGCAAAGTTATGAGAACAAAGCATGATTCTGAGTGAACAAATCACAAGAGGAAAGGAGATACCAAATAATCACCATCCTATTTTCATGATATTTTTTTCAGAAAAAAAAAAACAGAAATCAAAAGCTGGGTTGATTAAGGGAGCAGATTTGGGACACCCTCCCCTCCTCCAAATCAGACTATCAGTAGTTACTAGTCTAGTTTTACTATAAGAATGGGGAACCTGGCTTATGGAATTGCTGTTCATATTGATAATTGTTAGGGGGCTGGAGGCTAAAACATATGAAGAATGGTTGCAGGAAAAGAAAAGATCAAGGGCTAGGTTGTGGCAGAAACTTTTTTACACTACTTTTTTAAAGTAGACATTGTATACATATAGACATTAGGGATATTTCCAGAGGAGATCTGCCTGAAATTATCTGGAACATTATAAAAGGAACACATTGTGGAGCCACTGCAATTAGTCTAAGTAAAGAAATCAGATCTTTTTTTGTATATGGTACCCAGAGTTACATTAAACAAATAACTTACTATCTTAGATAGAGAAATGTGTTATTTTCTTGAAGAAGTAAACACAGCGACATGTTAAATTAATTTTATAGTTTTTTGTATGATTTTTTCCTGTTTAACCTGTAATAAACCTCTGTTTATTAAACAGAGAAAAACATACTTTTTGCCTTACTGAGTAATTTAAAAATCAGTACATTTAACTCTTCAGAGAAAGTTGACAGAGTATATCAAAAACTCATGGATATGTGCAGCAAATGATGGAATGAATGTCTAAAATATATAGAGAGAGTTTTGTTTTTTTTTAAAAAAAGGAGGAATAAAGAGCAATCACTCACAGCCCAATTTCTTTGAAAGACTTGCTGCTCAAATATTGAGAGAGAAATGCAAAAGGCAGCATTTCCATTTAAATGCTAATGGTATATTGCAAATTAATAGAAGAAATAATGGGTTTTTTTAAAAAAAAGATTTTTAATCTCTGAATGTTCATGGTTTTCAACGCATTACAAACCACCTGGATTTTGCAAATATAGAAAATATAGAAATAGAAACAAATTATATATATCTTTCAGACTAGGCAAAAGACAATAAAATATACCTCGGTGCAAGAACAGCAATAAAAACAAATCCGACTGCAAGTACATTAGTAGGCATAAATAACTCCCTTGCATATTGATTTCTCACCTGTTGCCTTGTTCCATGTACCTTTGTCTTGCATGCAGGTAACCCAGGCATGAGAAATAGCTGGGGTTTGGAATTATACCTTGTGACCCAAGGAAATCAATTATGAGTCAAAGTTTCCTGACAGAATAATTAGTCAATGCAACAGTTTGCATTGTACTGTGTGCTCCATCCCTAGAGTTTTTAAAGAAGAGATTGGACAGCCATTTGTCTGAAATGGTACAGAATCTCCTCTTGAGCAGGGGATTGAAATAGAAGACCTCCAGGGTCCCTTCCAGCTCTGCTATTTTGATATTTTATTGTAATTTGGAACAGGATTGACAAACAAGATAGATTTGACTGTTTTCGCACTGCTTCCCTTTTCTTCTCTCATGCCTTTGATGCTTGTGTTTGGTATTGTGACGGCCTAAAATTGCTGGTATGATTTGATGAAACCAGAACGTTGTAATGTTTCATGTGCAGGCATGTTAAAGGATGAATGGGGAATTGGAGATTTGTAATGTTATGCCATACTTTAATGTTGGGTATCCCAATATAATGCGAGCAACCATAGTTGTGCCCACTAGCATTGTTGTACCAGGTGTATATGTGTGTGATTGCCAATACCACTACTGTAACCATTTTGTAATTTAGCCAAGGTGTCACCACCAAGAAATATAGCAGTAATATCAAATCAGGCCACCGGAAGTATCTTTGGTAGCATGTTCCTCTGTGTATCTCTGGATTTCTTAAGTATTTTGCTTGGCAACAAGGAACCAAAGCAGTATAATCTACATTTGTTGAGATCTGCATAAAGTTATTGTGTTGTTCAAACAAAAGAGAGGGAGGAAATGGATGGATGGATAGATGGAATTAAATTATATTACACTAAATTAACATTATAGAGTAAAATCATCATTAAGTTTTTGCATGGAACAGATAATTAAACGAGGTGGAAATCCTGAAAAATTATAAGCGTGATTGACTTAAAAAAACCCAAACCTGTATTTCACAAATGCTACTTTGATTCTGCCTATTCAGCAATATACGTTCTAAGGGGAAGAGAGAAATTAAAGCATGGCATGCTTATCTCTCCATTTGGTATTTAGAATTGTGCACCAAAAGGCCTAATACTGAGATCAGTTGATTTTAAGGATTAGAAGCCCAACTGAAAACTGGAAAGCCAGGTCTCCTGTTGCCTATCCCGGCTTAAAAAAATCAGCCAAAGTGCTTAATACAGTTTTGTTCAGGGGTGAAATCTAGCAGGTTCTGACATGTTCTGGAGAACCAGTAGCGGAAATTTTGAGCAGTTCGGAGAACCAGTAGCAGAAATTTTGAGTAGTTCAGAGAACCGGCAAACACCACCTCTGGCTGTCCCCAGAATGGGGTGGGAATGGAGATTTTGCAATATCCTTCCCCCAGGAGTGGGGAGGGAAAGGGGATTTTGCGGTATCCCTCCCCTGGAGTGGGTTGGGAATGGAGATTTTGCAGTATGATTCCCCTGCCACGCCCACCAAGCCACACCACACCCACCAAGCCACACCCACAGAACCAGTAGTAAAAAAATTTGGATTTCACCACTGGTTTTGTTATATTCTGTAAAGACATTGTGTGCCATTATACCAACACATTTTTATTTTATTAAATTATATTTTAATATAATTATTAAATTAATAAGAAAATAAAAGATATTTTATTAATATGATTTGTGATTCTTTTTTTTTAATTTTTAAAACAATCAGTCGTATATGTTGCAAACTTCAATTTCTCTTTCTTTCTTCTCCCCTGCAGCTAATACAGACCATTAGTGCTGTTGATAAAGATGATCCCCTTGGAGGACAAAAGTTTTTCTTCAGTTTAGCTGCTGTTAATCCAAATTTTACCGTCCAAGACAATGAAGGTATAATGTATACACAACAAGGATGATTAATTCTCATACACATTTCTACAGTGTTTCCTTTTATTATACTTAGCAGTTAGATGTTTTCTGATTCAGGAAATTAGGATATTTTTTTTTAAAAAAAGAAATCATTGGTGAAATTAAAAAAAATAGAAGAAATTATGAAATGCAACACAGTCTTCATAATATAATCAGAAAGCAATATACAACATAGAAATTAAATAAGTAACTTTGAAGAAACTAAACTATAAAGAAATGCTTTATATCCTTAAAGTGTTAATATATGCTACCTTTGACATATTATTAAATCTAGCTGTATCGACCAATCTGTTGTGCCATCTTCTCAGTTTGGTACAATATTTTATTTCAATACAATAATATTTATATAATAAATTAATACATTTTTATATAATAAATTCTTTCTTTATTTCTCTATTGGTTCAATTTATATGCCGCCCTTCTCCGGAGACTCAGGGTGGCTTACAATGCGTTAAGCAATAGCCTTCATACTTTTGTATATACCTGCTTAGTAGGGCTTTCGCCCCCCAGCTAAATGGTGTTCTTTTTTATACAAAATCAGCTTATTGCCCCCACTATCCGGGTCCTCATTTTACCTACCTCGAAAGGATGGAAGGCTGAGTCAACCTTGAGCCTGGTGAGATTTAAATTTGCAGTAATTGCAGGCAGCTGGTGCTAGTTAACAGCACTTTAGTCTGCTGCGCCACCAAGGCTCTTAATATGTTATTATTTAGGTCCTTAACTGGATATAGCTAAGAGGAAAAAATAGTGGATATTCTATCAATATTAATTACAATTTTGTATATTAATGTTGAAAGCCTATAATTATTTGACTTTTTCTTCAAAATTAAATATAACTTTGGAAATGAAATGAAAAGATGAAGAGACTACATCAGAGTACCGTATTTTCCGGCGTATAAGACGACTGGGCGTATAAGACAACCCCCGACTTTTCCTGTTAAAATATAGGGTTTGGGCTATACTCGCTGTATAAGACTACCCCTCTTCCAACGCACACCAAATAAAAATTAAAAAACATCAACTGGCTCACCCACAATGTAAAAGCAGCTGTGCTAGACCCAAAATGGCCCCTGCAACAAGCAGGAACCTCACACAGCCACAAAAAGCCCAAAAACCCAACTTTCACACTTTACACACACACAATTCCACATACAGCTTTGTGAGATTTTGTGTGTTTGTGTAGTTAGAGTGAAACACTACAGAAACACACTAAATCTCAGAAAGCTGCACAAATATTATTTTATTTTATTTTATTTTTATTTTTATATGAAAGCTAAATTTAAAACTTCCTAAACTTTAAATGGCTAGGTCTAAAAAAGAACAACTAAAAAAAAACCCCAATTAACTATTCTTTTTAAAGCTCCCAAAGGGGAAAAAAACTTACCCAATAGAACAGGGGTCTCCAACCTTGGCAACTTTAAGACTTGTAGACTTCAACTTCCAGAACTCCTCAGCCAGCTTTGCTTTGCTGGCTGAGGAATTCTGGGAGTTGAAGTCCACAACTCCCTGCCTGCTTGATTGCAGGCAGGGAGTGGCTTGCTGATGGAATGGATTCAGGCAAGCGAAGCAAGGCAAGCGTTGCGACTATCAGCTAAGGTAAGCAAGCTGGAGGGGGAAAACTTTTTTCCTTTTACATGGCTCTGGCGATTAGCAGGCAACTCAGCTGGGATTGTCAGAGCTTGGATCACCAGAACCATGTAAAAGAAAAAAAGTTTTTTTTCCTTTTAAATGGGTCTGGCGATCCCAGCTGAGTTGCCTGCTAATCAGACAACTCAGCTGGGATGGTCAGAGCTTGGCTTGTCAGAGCCATTTAAGGCTCGTCAGAGCCTTTCAGGCTGGTCTGCCTGGTTACAGGAGAACGACACCCGGCGTATAAGATGACCCCCGACTTTTAAGAAGATTTTCATGTGTTAAAAAGTCGTTTTATACGCTGGAAAATACGGCATTTGATTTCTAATCACAGTTTTGCTCTTAAGCTAAATTACTTGATATTAAATCTTATGTTGTATTGTTACTCAGGGTTGTATGATTATGAATATGTGTTTTTTATACATGTTGATAGAGAAAGACTAGGCAAACAAAGCAAGTTTAGCAAGTTTGAAATGCCAAAAAAGTGAAATTGAAAAGGATGATGATGATGATGATGATGATGATTTGATAAACTGGGTAGATTTCAATCACTGGGTAGTGACCACCTAACATTTTGGAATGTTTTTTTCAGAATTTCCAGATAACTGTTTATTATTGAATCAAAATCAATTTTTTTTTTGTAGAAATAAGCCACTTAGATTTAACTAGATCTGTGTGTGGGGGGGGGGAATAGAATATAACTGCTTTTCATGCAGAAGCCCCCAAATTCAAATGCTTTTGTACAAAGAAGTTCTACTTAATCAGCATATGACAATGAATGGATTTAAAATAAATATGTATTTCCATATGTATGAGCCGCGGTGGCACAGTGGTTAGAATGCAGTACTGCAGGCTACTTCTGCTGACTGCTGGTTGCCTGCAATTTGGCAGTTCAAATCTCACTAGCTCAAGCCTTCCATCCTTCCGAGGTTGGTAAAATGAGGACCCAGATTGTTCGGGGCAATATGCTAACTCTGTAAACCGCTTAGAAAGGGCTGTAAAGCACTGTAAAGTGGTATATAAATCTAACTGCTATTGATATTTCAGACCAGGACCTGATGTGGCTGTTACATTGCAAATTTTAAAGAAATTAGATACCCTGTTTCCCCCAAAATAAGACATGCCCTGAAAATAAGCTCAATCGGGCTTTTGAGCGCATGGCAATAAGGCCAAGCACTTATTTCAGGGTTCAAAAAAATATAAGACAGGATCTTATTTGCAGGGAAACACAGTATCTATATTATCTGCAATGGTCTAGGAAATTGCCCTGCAGACTCTGAGAGTTCAATTAAAGAGGTGTTTCTACTGTGCTGCCTTCTATCACATTACCTTATAATTTAATTCTCAAGCAAAAGTTGCAAATGTTTGCATTTATCACTGAGAAGCCAAGCATATACATTCAGTGAAAAGGGGAAAAAAAGAACACCTTTGGAGGAGAGAGGTAGCATTATTATTTAATGCCATATTAAGAAAAAGAAATGAATTTACTGCTAAAGCTTGTTTCAATGTGTGGAAAATGTCAGTGAAGCTGTAAGTGTGGATGTACTACACTAGAAGTGTGGATTACATTCCTTGATGGGATTAATTGTAATGCATGTCTTGTTTGTGACTTCCTGGTTCAGATAACACAGCCCGGATTTTGACAAGAAGGAATGGCTTTAGCCGACATGAAAAAAGCACATACCTCCTTCCAGTGGTGATATCAGATAATGACTACCCCATCCAAAGTAGCACAGGCACACTGACAATCCGGGTGTGTGCTTGTGACAGTCGGGGAAACATGCAGTCCTGCAATGCTGAAGCTTTGCTCCTCCCAGCGGGCCTTAGTACAGGCGCACTCATTGCCATTCTGCTCTGTATCATTATTCTCCTGGGTAAGTTTTGAGGGAATAAGCACGTACTAAACGTAATACTATCAAATGCTAGATGCTACCAAGCTGCATTGGGTGCAACCCTTGCAAAGACAGCATTTTCCTTGCAACCAGTCAGAAATTAATCCCTTTGTAGCTACTTTAAACTAAAACACTTTGGCCACCTAATGAGAAGGTAGGACTCACTGGAGAAGAGCCTAATGCTGGGGAAGATTGAGGGCAAAAGAAGAAGGGGACAACAGAGAATGAGGTAGCTGGATGGAGTCATTGAAGCAGTAGGCGTGAGCTTAAATGAACTCCAGAGAATGGTAGAGGAAAGGAAGGCCTGGAGGAACATTGTCCATGGGGTCGTGATGGGTGGGACACAACTTCGCAACTAACAACAACAAGCTACTGTAATTTGAGAGTCAATCTTGGGTATAAAGCAGTTGGAGAACAAGTTATACCAAGGCAGACAATGTAAGCCCAGTTCAAATTGTAAAATGCTGCATTAAAATCCATTACAAACCACAGAGAAAGCATGAGAGATTACTACCAAGTATGCCCAAAATGGGAACACAGTAGATTTGAAGACAGAACATTCAAAATGTTTCCTTGGAACAATGTTGAATTGGCTGCATTGTTAAGGAACAAAATTATGAACAGCGTGAGCATTTTGCCTTTCATTAAAACAAAACTTGAAACATTTTCTTTTTTTTTTCTTTTTCTTTTCTTTTTTTCCCCAATTTTTATTTATAAGTACAAACTAAACAGAACAATGAAACGTACAAAACATAAAAACATATAAACATCCATTTCAATACATGTCCAGTTTGTCGCAACTGTAATATACATTTCTCTTTGTATTTTGACTCTTCCTTATTTGGTCATACCCTTTTGTCTATCTACTATTGATCTTTGTTGACCTATGTCTGTTCTTTGTTTCCATCATATTATATTTGGTCATTTTGTTTACTTCCTATTGCTTCATCTCTTTCCTATCTTTCAACCAACTATACCACTTTTCCCATACTAAGTAAAAGTCATGTTCTTCCCTATTTTGTAATTCCTTTGTGAGTCTATCTAATTCCGCACATTCCATAATTTTATTGATTACTTTATCTGGTGTTGGTATATCACTATTCTTCCAGTGTTGCGCGTATAGTATTCGTGCTGCTGTTATCATATGTATAATTAAATATGTTGTTTCTTTTTCATAGTATCCATTCACTATGCCTAATAAGAAGCTTTCTGGTCTTAGTTCTATCTTTTGGTGTGTTATTTCCTCTATTTGTATTTTGATATTTTGCCAATATTGTTTCGCCATTGGGCAGGTCTACCACATATGGTAATAGGTGCCTTTCCATAAGAAATGTTTTAAAAATTGACATGAACCCTTTGCTCCCTTTTACAGCCTACCAAAAGTAACTGGCATAGCCATATGCAATAGCTGCCACTGGTCATCAAAATTGTAGGAAAATATTAAAGAAAACTCTTGAATAACAGGTCAAACTAATCCCCTTTCAACCAACACAAGGGGTGCAGGAGACTACAAGACCTCCAAGGTCCCTCCCAACTCTGTTATTCTGATGGGATGTTTAGAATCTGCACAGTCCCAAATACTTTGGAGATTACCATTTCATGCCAGAATGTAGACCTGGCTGCTGGTACTACTGCAGGTAGCATGTCCACCTAGCTTTCCCTTCTGGATGGCCCCAAACTTCCTCTCCTCTGAAAGCCCATTACAGCTGTGCATTTAATGTCACAGTTGCCTTGTGTTCCAATGAGCTGTATTCAGCATATCAGGTAGCATCTACCCATAACTTGATCCTCCATTCTTCTTAGTGCACAATGACAAAAAAGTAAAATATACAAACTCCACCTTTACATATCCAAATATCTTAAATGAAGTGGATGTATGGGTTGGTACCTGGTGCTCACAGATATTGCAATATTTCTTCCAGCATGACATAGAGATAGCACCAGCTAGCTGCTGAAAGTAGCCAAAAATTGCCCTAATCCTAACTAACTAATAGTATCACAGTCTGCTTGTTCAAAGCCATCATTTTCATAAGAGCTAGTGTGAACCTGATTACTTTAATGTACCCTGCAGTTTATTTCTTCATGGCTGCTTCATTCATTGTAATGGCATCTTGCCTTGTTTAAGACCAGGTGCCTTATCTCTAGGCTTCATATTGTTGCCACAGTGGAAAAGATACCTGTTTGGATGCCTAAGAAGATCTTTAAGCATCCTATACACCAAAAGATCTTTATTGCATTCATCCTGCTGGCCCATTTTTTCCTACCAAATAACAGGAAGCATAGCATGGGTTTTCAAGATTAAGCTTGTGGTGTATTTATCACCAATACACATTAAATCTAATTAAAGGAATCGTGTCTCTCAAATGATAGACAGGCCTGATTTGCAGGGATCAGGCAAGGAACATCCTTTGAAATGCACGCCCAGAAAAAAGTCCAGGTTAAAATCAAAGGCATGACCAGTCTCTTATCTATCTCTCTTGTGTTAAATATTGTAAAGCTGGACAGAAGAAATAACACATTTTAACTGCCATGAGAATGTGAGAATTACAGTATTTCAAAAGCAGACAGCCATATATCCACCAGTTCTAGGAAGAGCAGCAGCAGTAGCAATCCCGAGAGTCACAGAATCCAGAAATAAGTGCTTTATTGTGATCCAGATCTTCCTTTCTTGGTGTCCCACTAGCAACAAACAGATCCAGACTAGCTGCTCATTATGTCACCTGCTGCTTATATGCCTACTGCATTATTCCAACATTCAGTTCCAGATTATCCAACCTGGCCTAAAACAAACATTTATACTGGCCCCAGTAGAAAACTCAAAAGACAATGCTCCCTTTTGCTAGAAAGGTCATCTTAACACAGTCTTCTTTCATAATTTGAAGAAAACACTTAAAACAAAATTGCCTGGTTTCAAATAGTAACAATTCAAGTCATTTTGCACATCCCTAGTTATTTTAACACAGTAACTCAAAGTGTATATATTTCTATCAGCTACCTGACAATTCAGAGCACTTCATTAGACTTATTTAAGCCACTGTGGCCTTGGGATTTCAGTCAGAACACATTGAGACTTACACTAATATACACACAAACAATGTCTTGCTAAAACATCACACATATACAGGTGAAACTCAAAAAATTAGAATATCCTGCAAAAGTTCATTTATTTCAGTAATGCAACTTAAAAGGTGAAACTAATATATGAGATAGACTCATTACATGCAAAGCGAGATAGTTCAAGCCTTGATTTGTCATAATTTTGATGATTATGGCTTACAGGTCATGAAAACCCCAAATTCACAATCTCAGAAAATTAGAATATTGTGAAAAGGTTCCATATTCTAGGCTCAAAGTGTCCCACTCTAATCAGCTAATTAAGCCATAACACCTGCAAAGGCTTCCTGAGCCTTTAAATGGTCTCTCAGTCTGGTTCAGTAGGAATCACAATCATGGGAAAGACTGCTGACCTGACAGTTGTGCAGAAAACCATCATTGACACCCTCCATAAGGAGGGAAAGCCTCAAAAGGTAATTGCAAAAGAAGTTGGATGTTCCCAAAGTGCTGTATCAAAGCACATTAATAGAAAGTTATGTAGAAGGGAAAAGTATGGAAGAAAAAGGTGCACAAGCAGCAGGGATGACCGCAGCCTGGAGAGGATTGTCAGGAAAAGGTCATTCAAAAGTGTTGGGGACTTTCACAAGGAGTGGACTGAGGCTGGAGTCAGTGCATCAAGAGCCACCACAAACAGACGGATCCTGGACATGGGCTTCAAATGTCATATTCCTCTTGTCAAGCCACTCCTGAACAACAAACAATGTCAGAAGCGTCTTATCTGGGCTAAAGACAAAAAGAACTGGTCTGTTGCTCAGTGGTCCAAAGTCCTCTTTTCTGATGAGAGCAACTTTTGCATCTCATTTGGAAACCAAGGATCCAGAGTCTGGAGGAAGAATGGAGAGGCACATACTGCAAGATGCTTGAAGTCCAGTGTGAAGTTTCCACAGTCTGTGTTGATTTGGGGAGCCATGTCATCTGCTGGTGTTGGTCCACTGTGCTTCATTAAGTCCAGGGTCAACGCAACCATCTACCAGGAGATTTTGGAGCACTTCATGCTTTCTTCTGCAGATGAGCTTTATGGGAATGCTGACTTCATTTTCCGGCAGGACTTGGCACCTGCCCACACTGCCAAAAGTACCAAAACCTGGTTCAATGACCATGGGATTACTGTGATTGATTGGCCAGCAAACTCACCTGACCTGAACCCCATAGAGAATCTATGGGGAATTTCCAAGAGAAAGATGAGAGACATGAGATCGAACAATGCAGAAGAGCTGAAAGCCGCTATTGAAGCATCCTGGTCTTCCATAACACCTCAGCAGTGCCACAGGCTGATAGCATCCATGCCATGCCTCATTGAGGCAGTAATTGATACAAAAGGGGCCCAAACCTTTCTGTTTCAACAAGCAGGGCTAGCATAAACATCTAAATTCTATGCCAAGGTCTTAGCAGATACACCAAGTTGACTCAATTTATTATTTACTGTTTATTTAAAAAAAAAATTATTATATGTATATGAAATCTTAATCTGTTCACCGCCCTGAGTCCTTCGGGAGAAGGGTGGTATAGAAATGCAATAAATAAATAAATAAACCAAGTACTGAATACATATGCATGCTTATATTTTTCAGAGGTCCGATATTGTTCTATGTACTGTTTTATTGATTTCATGTAATATTCTAATTTTTTGAGATTGTGAATTTGGGGTTTTCATGAGCTGTAAACCATAATCATCAAAATTATGACAAATCAAGGCTTGAACTATCTCGCTTTGCATGTAATGAGTCTATCTCATACATTAGTTTCACCTTTTAAGTTGCATTACTGAAATAAATGAACTTTTTTGCATGATATTCTAATTTTTCGAGTTTCACCTGTAATTTATCAAGTAGGCTATATTAAAATTTCCATGATGATGTAGATCAGGGGTGTCAAACTCAAGGCCCAGGGGCTGGATCCAGCTTAGATCCAGGCCCCACAGGGCCACCCTGGGAACAGTGAAGGACTGGTCGGTGGTGCCTCTGCCAGCAAAAATGGAGCTCGGGAGCTCGTTTTCGCTGGCAGAGTGCTCGGGCCACCACAGGCATCCCTGACACGAGTGATGTTGAGCTGTCAATGTCCAGTCTGGCCGTGCCCACCCTGGCCCCCTGAGGTCAAACTCAACCCAATGAGGCCTTCAATGAAATCGAGTTTGACATCCCTGATTTAGAGTTATTTCTGAGATGTTAAAGTTCTCACTTTATGAGTTTAGTACCTCATTTAAAAAAACCTAATGTGTAAAATGTGAATAGTTTTGTAAAACTTTCATATTAAATGTGTGAATCAACATTTTCTTGTTAAGATTAAGCTGAGATAATAAGCAGGAGTAGTGTTTTCCACCTATACTGCATCTCATTTATTGGCATCACATGTTTTTTTAAGCCTTAGGTCTCAATACATCACTCCCAAACATTTTCCAAGATATTCTCAATCTAATTTAATTGAAAGCAATTAGTTTTCAATATATATATAAATTTAAAATTAATTAGATGTATATTGACTGAAAATACATACTGTATTTTTCAGAGTATAAGACACACCTGAAAATTTGGGTGTGTCTTATACACCGAATGTAGCCCTGCCCAGCCTCTGAAATGGAGGTTTCAGAAGCTGAAAAAAGCCTCTAAAATCTCCATTTGAGAGGCTGAAAAGAAAAGCCTCTGAAATGGGGGTTTCAGAAACTGAAAAAAAAAGCAAGGTGCAGAGCTCACAACCAATGAACCTGTTGCTAAAGTTCACCTCTGGGAATACTTATTGGGGGTATTCCGGGAGGCCATCCACCTGCCAATCAGCTTTTTTCTTATTTTCCTCCCCAAAAACTAAGGTGCATCTTATACTCCGGTGCATTTTATAATCTGAAAAATACAGTACCATGTTTCCCTGAAAATAAAACCCTGTCTTATATTTTTTGAACCCCCAAATAAGCGCTTGGCCTTATTTTTGGGGAGGTCTTATTATTTTGTGGCACGTGGAGGAAACCAGAGGAAATGGCGGGGACCAGCTGCGCATGCGTTTAAATATTTTCAGGGAGGTCTTATTTTTAGGGGTGGTTATTTTAGCATATGCGCTCAAAAGCCCGATTGGGCTTATTATCAGGGGATGTCTTATTTTCGGGAAAACAGGATAGTTTTGTTAGTAATTCTTTCCTCAAAAGAAACAGCTCTCTCTTCATCTTGCAAGTCTGAATGAAACTGTAGGAAAACAGATCAAAGCTGATCAAAAGCTTGACACAATATATTTTGCAGAACAAGAAAGCATTAGTACTGTGTTCTATTGCATTTTATTTTAAAATAAGAATTTCTGGATGACTTCTTTTCATATTTCCGCAGAATGCCCTGCAGTGGTATAAGATAGAGACACATACAGAATAAAGGGCTTGTTAAGTATACAAGAGGGAGGGAGAAAACTGCAGGTCTTAATGAAATGTTTGTCCCTTTTTGCACTATGGTATATTTATAGTAGCTTAAAAACAGGAAAAATGGGAAAGGGTATTCAGTTTTCAATTTGTACACAATTGACTCAGGGTTTTTTTGTTTTTTAAAAAACAAGATTCGTTAAGCTGATGGTTGATAGAATAATCAGCAGCTGTTTGGCAATGAATCTGTCCTTCCATATTCAGGTGCAAGAATATATAATTGTTGCTTGAAAAAAGGATAGAAGATGATAATTAACTTCCTATTCTTTTTCTGTGTTTCTATAGTAGCTTCCTCAATCTAATGCCCTCTAATTATATTGGAATCACAGCTCCCCAAATTATCAACTCTACAAAACAAAATGCTAAAGAAAAGCAGAAATGTTGGGGTGCTTCAGCAGAGATTTTTACATTTCTTCCTTGGTTCATTCCACAAGTCAAGGATCAGAATAATTAGATTTACCCAAAAAGAATATAGCAAAACAGTCTCATATTAAACCTGTGGGGGCTCAGTGGCTTAATGTTGCTGGAGATTGTCTCTGCTCCAGCAGTTAGAGTCTTAGTACTGTGGAGCAGAGTGAGCACCATCACTTGCCTCAGCTTCTGCCCACCTAGCAGTTTGAAAGCATGTTCTATGCAAGTAGATACATAGGTACCACTTCGGTTGGAAGACAAACTGGTGCTCCATGCAGGCAGTCAGATTCCTGCCAGTTCTGAATCTTCCCGGTTGCAACGCCTCTTTGCAAGGTGGCTCCGGGCGAGGGAGGGCATCCTTGGATGCTGCTGCAAGAACAGTCGCGCATGTTTCTTCCAGTTCTTCTTTCTCTTATGGTGCACCATGGGAAGCGTGCAAGCATGTACCTGGCAGCGCTGGTAAACAGGCAGCCAAACTACTACGATGCAATTGCAGAGTAGTCTCCTGGCTAATGTAACTATAAAGAAAATAAACTAAATTGCATACTTGTGTTCATGAAGAAAAAGTATTTTAAAATGTTATTTTTAGTTAATTCATGTTATTTTTCTTTCTTCCAAGTTATAGTGGTGTTGTTTGCTGCTCTAAAGAGGCAGCGCAAGAAAGAGCCTCTGATCCTGTCTAAAGAAGACATCAGAGACAATATCGTGAGCTATAATGACGAAGGGGGTGGAGAGGAAGATACCCAGGCTTTTGATATCGGCACTTTGAGAAATCCTGCAGCTATTGAAGATAAGAAACTCCGCCGAGATATTATCCCAGAAACATTATTTATACCACGGAGGACTCCTTCTGCTCCAGATAACACAGATGTCCGTGATTTCATTAACCAAAGGTTGAAGGAGCATGATCATGACCCCTCTGCTCCACCTTATGACTCCCTAGCAACTTATGCCTATGAAGGAAATGATTCTATAGCTGAATCCTTAAGTTCTTTAGAGTCTGGCACCACTGAGGGAGACCAAAACTATGATTACCTCAAGGAATGGGGCCCTCGGTTTAATAAGCTTGCTGAGATGTATGGTGGAGGCGAAAGTGATAAAGACACTTCCTAACCTACGGTAGGATATATAGTTCAATTGAGAGGAAGTAACTTTACAGATACCTTTTCCACGTGACAATATTTGATGTTCAGGAGCATTCTCCTACCACTCAGCACAATGTTTCTTTTTCTTCTCCTTTTTCTTTCATTTTGGTTTTTGAATTGCTCATTAATGTCCTTTATTCTTTCTTGTAAAATGTCACTTGGAATATATTCAACATTTTATTTCGCCCTGTTCTGAAAGCCAAAGCAATTGAAATTTGGTGTCATCCATTTTATTAAATAAAGGATACACTGTTTGAGTAGGTATATAATCTCTCAAACAGTCATATGAGAGTTGCTTCTGTTAGGTACATGTTTTCCACTCGCAAGGACGGCTTTGAAAAAGACCCAGACTGCGATCTACAAAAGGATCATGCATGCACATTCCACATACACACCCACATTTTCCTTGGAAATGTGTTTCTTTTTCAGAAACTATGCACAGGAGACCCCATAGACCTTGTTAAGCATTTTCATTCAGAGAGTGTGCTCTCTGTCCCAAATCTACACACATAATGAACAAACTAGGGTTTGGTTTTTGTTTTGCTTTGGTTTTTTTGGAGAAAAATAGCTCCTCTAGAAAATAATTTAGTGCTATATACCCTGAGAGTTTTTGATAGACACGTTCAGATTTCATTGTTTAAGAACAACAGTTATAATTGGGGGGGGGGTTTCTGCTTGTGCAGCTTCCGGAAAATAAACTGGGGGAAAAATTGAAATGGTATGCACAGAGTGTCTACGCATTTCCTTTTGGATCATAACCCAAAAGAAGTAGGAAGAAAACAGTTGCCCCTATTCTGTACATTTAAAAAAAAATTGAACCCTGAAAATGTACACGTGGTGTTAATGTGATATGCAGCTGGTTTAAAAAGAAAAATTTTGTGCAACTTCATTTCATCAGATTCTCTCTGCCAATGTTTTATATTTATATTTTTGTATTTATTTTTAAGAAATAAACCAGTTTTATAACGATTCTGTTTTCCTGATTGTTCTGTAAAAGGATATAACCAGTGATGGGATTCAGCCAGTTCGCACCACTTCGGGAGAAACGGTTGTTAACTTTCTGAGCAGTTTGGCAAAGTGATTGTTGGAAGAAATCATTAGGGCAGAGAACCGGTTGTTAAATTACTTGAATCCCACCAATGAATAGAACATACTTACTTTGGATATTCATATAAGATTATCCTATAAATTATTGGTCAGACTTTGAGTTATATTGCTTACAGAGATATCTGGTCTGTGCACATGCAGCCATTAGCCTGTATGCAACCTAAACTAAGTTATAGACCTTGATTAAAATACAGCACAAAGCAGGAGGTAAAATGATAGCCTGGACATGCTTTTTAACTGAGTTTTCTGGTCTTCGTTTGCCATGGAAACATAGCCAAATATTCTGGTGTTCAAAAATATAGCCTTTTTGCAGCAAAACAGTGAAAAGACCCAGGGCACTGTGAAGACTAACACATTTATTTTGACACAAGGTTTCATAGTTTACAGTCCACTTTGTTAATTTCATGGAATTTTATAAATGAAGATGCCAGAGAGAGATGAAATGTTGAAGAATTGTTCTTTCCCTGTTTAAGAGATAAGAGTGCTTCCCCTTCTCCTCATGGCTTTTCACTGAACTGGTTTTAAACAAAACATGCAAATGTTTGAAGAGAAAATTTCCCCAACCCTTTTCATATTATGGGCTTTTCTAATTTTCTCCTCCTGTAACATTATCCTTGCCTATTCCGGGAAGTCTTTACACATTAGCTAAACTTAGCATTATGGCTATTAAGATGCTTGGTTGCAGGACGTGTCTTCACATGTCTTTGAGAAATATCACCCCCCCCATGCTACTCCATATTTGCTCATATATGTTGCCTTTTACAGACCTTAAGAAAAGAACTTAAACTAAGCCATCCTATGAAGGGAGTTTCCTTTCTTCTTGCTATCTTTGTAGCCAATTGATCCAGAGAAATTTCCTTGATTTTATGTGCTTACTCTGGAACAAAATAGGAAAAGTTGTGGTGGCCAAGGACTTAGCTTAATCCTATGAGGGGGAAGACTGGGAGTCAAAGAGAGAAACACTACAAATAGTTCAAGTACATGCAGATAAGACTGTTTTGAGGAATAGCAGTTGAGAGAATTGTTTTAACTGTGATGGGTGTATTTTCAGGTTTCACACTAGTGTTTTCATGTATTCCTCACCTCAATGTGGCAAGAAAATCTGTCTACTAACAGCAAGCATGGTATAGAGGGGGCTTCAGAGTTTTCAGAAAAAAGAAAACTCAAGGACCTGCTTCACAATTTTAAAGTCAGTGTATCCTCTCCCAAAAATTTATAGTGTGACATCTTAATAAAGCAGGGCTGTAGGTTACACAATGGTAATCATTTCTTCAAATATAGCATTAATTCAACCCTCCTAGCTGAAAATGTGATCATTAGGGAGAAGTAGGAGAAGACAAGAGGGAGTGGGTGCACTTGTTTTCTAGTTTCAGTTTCAGGCCTTGATACATGAATACTGGATGGGGTCTACAATACCTTCTGCTACATTTTTATAGGGTTTCTTGGTTTTGTTTTGTTTTGTTTTCCCAAAAGAATATTATAAACCTGTTCAGGACAGGTTTCAGCCTTCAATACCTATCTAGTGCACAGCAGGACTCCAAAGATTTTGGAGGCGACTATGTTGTCTGGCCTTGGAAAAACTAAAGAGATATTTAAGTAAACTCAGCTCTTGGCAACTCCATCCACTGTCTGTAGTTTTCTTGGTTGTAGTCAAGAAATAGTTTGCCATTGCAGATAGATCTGTGGGGCTTGAGAGAAACATAGGAATTTTAGGGAGAACATCAACCAGGGGTGGGATGGTGGGGATTCTCAGGAGTTCGGAGATCCCCCAAATCCCACTCCTGGTTGGCACCGCCTACCCCAACCCAACCCTCCCAGGAGCCCTCACGTGGCCCGTTTTGGATGCAGGTAAGTGCAGGGTGCACATGGAGGCTCAGGGAGGGTGAAAAATGGGCTACCGGAAGTTCAGGAAGGCCAGAAATGGGTGCATTTGTGGCCTTCAGAGGGCCTCCAGAGCCTGGGGAGGCTGTTTTCTCCCTCCTGGAGGCTCGAGGAAACCCTCCAGAGCCCGGGGAGGGCAGAAAGACCCCTCTCCCGCCAAGGTGCAGGAGGATGACTAGGCCACACCCACCATGGCCACACCCACCCAGCATCCAGGCAGAGAACCCCTTGCTAAAATTTTTGAACCCACCCCCAGCATCAACAAATTAGATGCAACATAGAAGTATTTCCTATCTGTTGAGGAGAGAATTGTCATCTGAGAAATTTTTGTGACTGGATAAGGCATGATAACAAGAGGTTAAGAATCAGGTATTTAGCTGGCTTGAAAACTAAGCTGGAGACTTCTGGTTAGTTAACCAATCCAAACTGCATGAATTTGGCCAAAGAACCTTTTTCTGATTCTCCCAATTACATTAAGTAATTCCATCTAAGAATGTTTAACAAACTAAATACTATATATTGTTTTAAGACTTTGAATTGGTAGGTTTGCCAACCCTTGTGTCAACAGTCTTGTAATAAAGCTTGACCATTTACTTTGGAAGTGGGAAAAATCTTTATGCCTTTGTGTACAGCAAGTCTCTGTTAGCAGAATAACTTTCTGAAGAGACAAAATTAAACAGTACTTACTTTAAGCAAATATTTTGTTAGGCTATAGCACTGAGCATTTTTCTGAGCACAAATATCTTCAGTAATTGCTTTAATCCATAATGGTTGTATCAAGGTCAAAATAAGACATGTTCACTATTTATTTAGGATCTCAAAGCCTTTGTGTCCTGAGTTAAAAGTCAGAGTTATAATCCAGCTTGAAAAGTTTTCATTTTTCTTTTGGTGACATAAATGGATTTTGAACAATTGCACCAACTTGCTTCAATGCAAACTCTATGTGAAAAGTCTAGACCAGGGTCAAACTTTGGATCTCCTCCAAATGCTTTACATTTCATCTCCCATCAACCACAGCCAGCATATGATCACTGGGAGAAGTTATGAGAATCCAGAACATCTGGAGGCACCACGTTGCCTGATTTGGTCAAAACAAATATCACCTAAAGTGTTTGTTTGGAACTCAAAGTGTGCTGTTTTGATCTATATATCCAAACCATTGTTTCATCTTTTTTCAATTCTTTAATATTGTCAGCACCTAACTTTATTTCTTAGCCACAAAGTGGGTAAGTATTGGCTTTCACCTGCTACCTCTAAAATGAGTTTTGCTGAAACAGCCTTTATAATCAGATCCATTTTGATGTTTTTCACAAATAATATTTATATTGGAATAATGGAGGAAAGGAAATTTGAAGAAAAAATGGAGGGAAAGCTGTCATATATTTTGATCCTTTAACAATTTAAAATATTTGGAAATATCATACTGGGTCTCTTCAGAACATAGGTAGAAATACTTCTCCATCTCAATGCTTCACCATGTCAAAAATTCCTTGTGAAAAAGGAGTTTATAGACACGAGGAGACAATAGTTGGGGTTTTATGCTTGTTTATCAGATCTGAAAGACCACTGACTCTAGAGGAACTCTGGGCATCATAACAAATTTGATAAATGTGTAAATAAATAACTCTGAAACTGTCATGCCAGATTTCCACAGATCAGGAAATGTGAAATGTGTCACTGAAAATAAAGATATGCAGTCCTGCAATAATATGTAGTGGCTGATAGGGGATTTTTAAAATTATTATTATGATTATGTGACACACTTCAGAAATATGTCAGGATAAAATGTTACAATTCTCCCCTCCCAAATTCCATAAATTTTTAGCAAAGAAGAAATTTCAAATAAAACTATGTAACAAATTCAAGATATTGTGACCATTATGGAAAATTCTTTTCTTTTTAACAAAGCAAAACAAAAGCAATAACAAGAAGATATAACAGAATAACAAAGTTGGAAGGTACATTAAAAGTCTTCTAGTCCAACTGCCTACTCAGGCAGGAGACCAAATACCATTTGGGACAAATGACCATCCAATCTCTCCTTGAACACCTACAGGCATGGAGCGCCCACAGCTTCTGAAGGCAAGCTGTTCCATTGGTTTATTGTTCTCACTGACAGAAAATTTCTCTTTAGTTCTGGGCTGGTTCTCTGCTTGATCAGTTTCCATTCATTGTTTCTAGTCATGCCTTCTGGTGCTTTGGAGAATAGTTTGACTCCCTCTTCTTTGTGGCAGCCCCTCAAATATTGGAACAGTGCTATCATGTCACCCCCTAGTCCTTCTTTTAATTAAACTAGACATACCCAATTCCTGCAACCATTCTTCATATGTTTTAGCCTCCAGTCCCCTAACCATCTTTCTTGCTCTTCTCTGCAGTCTTTCTAGAGTCTTAACATCTTTTTTTTACATCGTGGCAACCAAAACTGGATGCAATATTCCAAGTGTGGTCTTACCAAGGCATTATAAAGTGGTACTAACTTTTCATGTGATCTTGATGCTATTCCTATGCTACAGGACCAAAACACCTTCTGAAATATGGTTACTACATATATAACAGCATCTAGAGACATATACAATTTATAGAATCAAAGGGAAACAAATAATTGCAGGGAGAGGACAACAATTAACAATTCCTAATTAATTTAATTATAAAAATTAGCAATGTGAAGTACAAAAGAAATTTGCAATAAAAAGTCAAAAGAAAAATAGCATTAGCTGGGAATTAATTTTGGTGGTTTTTAACTTGCTGTCTGGGATCCCCAACAATCCTGGAAGTAAAATTAATGTGAGAAATGCAAATAGAAGAAACTAGGAAGGGTTTGAAAGGAATGGGGAAAGTATATAAAAATGAGCATTGAAAAAGAAAGAGATGGGCTGAAAGCAGAGACATCCACAGCAATAACAGCAGGTACACATGTGGAAAAGATTGGGGTACCCTTCCTGTCATTTTGCAGTTTTTGTAGATAACCCTGGATGAGACTTT